TTCGACCACCGGTTCGGATTGACGGTGACGAAAGCTAGGTGGTAGAGTTGAGATCGTGTATCTGGGCTCACTGGTGACCGCTGATAATGACACCAGCAGAATAATTCAAGGACGCATTATGTCAGGCAATCGTTAATACTTTGAACTCCAAAGGGCGCTTCTGTTGAATCAAGTTCGCCGCGAATCTATGGCTAAAGGTCGAAGGAGAAAGGTTTGAAAGACAAAAAGTCGAAGGGATAAAAGATTAATTGCTCAATCGTAGTTTGAAACATGAAATGGAGGATAGTAGAATGGAACGATGCGCAGCGGAACACATAATCGAAACATATCAGCAACTTAGGCCACCCATCACAAGCTTTTCTAATGCTTATATGGGTTCTAGAAGTTCAAATTAAAAATTAACCCCTTTAATACGCACGAAGAGACATTAACATTAAGAGGGGTCCATGGCAACTTTTATTTGCCAAAAAACTACTCATATTTTAAAGAAGGTGTTAAGCAAAAGTACACCAGTTAAAGAAAAAAAAATGATTTATTTTTTAATATTTGAAAAGTAAGGGAAATGGATGTAATGTCGGCCTAAATGTCCCTTAATTTGGGCCCATACATAAATTCAGCAATTTACTAAATTTTCAATTGCGACCAAAAATATCCATTAGTACCGTCCCAATGACGCGTTCATCTTGATAAAATTGATAAATAGCAGATTTTTAGCGATGGGCCCAATCTTAGATCCATAGGCTAATATTAGAGCAATTTCCCCTATATCAAAAATAAAAAAAAAAACGCATTTTTCTTATATTCTAAAGAAAATACACGTACATAAACATTTTTGTGGGTGGCATAAAGTTGGACTTAAAAAACCACAATACATCGACTCTTTTGGTTTTGCTGAGGGTCCAATTTTGTTTTATGTTGAGATGGAAAAATCATTTGTACATGTAAATTTTCTCAAGAATCTAAGAAAATTCTGATTTTCTTGTATTTTTGATAATTTTTCCCATTATTTTTATAAAAATAAACGAGCCGAAAAACAAATTATTTTTGGGGCGGTAAACTTCCCCTTTACTTCAAAAGCGAATATTTCAGTGAGGCTACTCACAGCTAAAGCTTTATTTAATTGCTTTACATAACACATTTCCTTTTTGACATTTTATAAAACTTAAAAGTTATTTAGTGTGTTTGCCTTTTGTACATTTCCACCTCTTTAGCATTCCACAAACCCCTTTAATTTATTTTGAGCTCCTGGTCATTCGATGTTTTGTCCATTAGACCTTTTGTAGATTTCACATTAAATTTCAATCGACGTTTTTCCATGTACATCCGACCTTTTTTATCACTTCGACCTTAGTCCTGTCGACCTTGTCCATTAGACTTTTTTCCATTCGACCTTTTGTCGATTACAACCTTTTGTCTCTTCGATGTTTTGTCCCTTTGATCTTTTGTCCATTCGACCTTTTGTCCGTTGACCTTTTGCCCTACAACCCGTGGAGGACCAACGCAACCTGGGTGTTTTTGAACTGAAGGTGTTGCGTACCATCTACGGTGGAATGCATATGAAAGACGGAACGTGGAGGAGGCGAATGAACCGCAAATTACATCAGCTGCTGGGAGAACCACTCATCGTCCATACTGCAAACATTGGGTAGCTACGATGGGCTGGGCGTGTCGCAAGAATGTCGGACGACAGCCCGTTGAAAATTGGTTCTAGATAACGAACCGACTGGTACGAGATGAAGAGGGGTGCTGTCGGTAAGGTGGATCAGCCGGATGAAACATTTTTACTCAGTCTATGAGTAACCGTGGTTTTAGCGAAAGTGAGTAAACGGAGCTCAAATTTAATTCAGATCCTACGGCCGTGTGAAAATCAATAATTTGAAAAATTTCGCTGGAAGTTCCAGTACTTTTAATAACATATCAGGCCTGAGTAATTTGGTTTTTGCCTTACTAATCGCTGAAAGCTTAGATTAAGTGGTCCAAACTTGTTGGTTAACTAACAACAAATAAGCATTTCATCACAGACAAACAGAAATAACACTCATAAGTTGTTCATAGAACAAGAATTTAACGGTCAATTTGAAAGTATCTCAGTTGGTAGTACTGCCACCTGTGGCGCGCATAGTAAATTCCCTTGTGTTTGACGTTTACACACTACCGCCATCTGTTCAGCGTACTACACACTACAGTGTACTCAACAGATGGCGGTAGTGTTTTAGCGACGATGTTTAAAATGGGAAATATTCAATGTGTTATATCTGTTTGTCTGTGATTTCATTATTGCATTTTATCTTTTCAGTGTTTTGATTTTTTTCGTATTTGAAGGGGTTAAGAATTATTCTAAAACAGTTGGTACGTGCAGGAATTTCCACTATTCCATAATTATTTTTGTCAAATTATTAGTTTTGTGTTTATGAAACTGACCATGCCTGTCAAATTGCTAACGATCTTCTTACTGTAGCTCTATTTTTGTCTGTATGCGAAGACAGATTATTAAGAAGATTGGCAACTCTCCCGTTTTCTCATACGACTGCTATAAGACAGGTACAATCGCGCCGTCTGCCGCTCAAGGGTTAATACTCCGAACTAAAGAGACTGGATTGGGTAAAGAGGCGACCTCTTATCCATTTGACATTTCCTATGACTTTGACAGATAATCGATTGTTCCAATTTTGACATGTCGTCTCTTTATAAAATCAGGCTCTTTACTCCGAACGAATGTGATAGCAACAATTCTAACTCCAAAAGAAAGGTTTGTGTATTTTCTTTGCATTACTTTCGCTGAAAGCTTGTAAAGATAATCATTTCCGTGGTTTACGGTATGTTCTCATAAATAATGCTAATATAGGTCCTCCATTTTATAAGTGCTTATGATTTCAAATAATGTTTAAAAAAATAGTTGTTAACACTAGCATTGCTAAGAAGAACCTAATTCAAGGCTTAGGACTTCTGGTTACTTGGGAACATATGCCCTTAAAGTAATGTGGATGATAGTCGAGCGACCCTTGAAAATTTGGTGATTATCACAAATGCCATCAAGGCTATTCAATCTTTTCTTTTTGTCAGCTTGTTCATGACGTGCCAATAAATCTGACTATTGACTAAATGTATCATCATATTTTAGGACATAAGAAATTAAATTATAAATAGTAACCCGTTAAATATTTTAATAAAATGTAAATTCATACAGCCGCTCTGTTCTTGACTTCTTGTGATTCCTGGTCTTCAATGTAATTTTAGTATAAAATTGGAATTATGCCGCATTCATCCTCATTAACTTCACTACTATTTTCCGCAAAAATCCTACAAACCCGTTAGACTGATAGAACCCCTCCGAAAACTAAAACACAAATTTCATCACACCAGCAAATTTTACACAACATTACAACTCGAATGACCCTCCACCACCACCACCACCAACGACCCGGTTTGGAAAACCGCATTATACTTACAAGCCCCCAAAATTTATAGCCGATCCACTAAACGAGCACGTGTGTGTGTGTGTGTGTTTGTTTGCATTTGCGTTCTCACAGCATTTCAATGAGAGGTTCTCGCTCCAGCAGCCGCAACAACAACAACCACAACAGATTGTCAGCGCTAGTATGCTATCTAGGCTAGATGAATAGGATGAATGGCTAGTAGTTAGGTCTTAGATAGTACATAGCAATGAGCCCTGCATAAAACAAAACAAAAAATCACGCTGCTGACCATTTGTCGCGTTCAGTTTGTTAATCGCCTGCTAATTGTCGTCGTCGTTGACGTCTATTTAGATTGTATGTATGTACAGCTGTACAATGCACCCCCATTGTTGTTTGTTTACATTTCTCGCGGCGTCTGCTTTTGCCACTTTTCCACCCGTCGTAATTATCGTCATCATCAATTACACTTCATGGTGCGTGTCACAATCGTTTTTAGTTTAATTGTTTTCCCCCGATCGCTGCTGGATTGGATGTTGCAGTTTTTCATGTGACAATAGCACAATGCGCCCCCGTTCTCATTGTCGTCGCGTGTAAAGTCGGTGTTGTCAATTAAGCAACAGTGGCGTGCGCGGATGATAGGCTGCTCGCTGCCTGCCACTTTTGTTTGTCTTTATGAATGGTTGCAACAGGTGGTCGGGGGAGGATTAGTTACGAATGACGTTTTGGTGTGATTGGTGCTTCCGTCGCTAGGTGGCAGTCGGGTAGTGTGCGGTTATGCGGTGGAATTGGTTAATCGAGGGTGCTGCTTTGTATACAAATGGTGATGGTAAGTGGGATAGACTATTAGAGCAATAAAAACGAGCAATTTCTCGGTACACGAAATCGTACAAGAACTGTTTATTTATTACATTTGCTTTTCTTGTGCGTTTTTTTTTTTTATTCAGTGATTACTATTAAGGAGGGAAATAAAACTGTCACTTCCAAGAGCCTAATACACTACTATCGGATAAAAATGGTTACTGAAATGAGGCTTGGTGTGGATTGTTTACAAGCTATTTACAATTTAATGTGCTGGTTTTTTTGCGTTTCGTTTGTTAGCTGGTTTGCGATTTCAACTTCCTCCTCATAAACACAGGCCCATCTGGCGGTGTTTACCTCACTGTTTTCCAACTTTAAAACTACAACCTAATAGTGTAATTACCGCTAGTTATTATCGTAATCCACTTAATTGATTAATGGTACAACAAACAAGATTTATTTCGCAGAGAGCAAACGGAAAGGAAAACTGGCCCCGTCAGAGGCAATTTATCAATCTCCGCCGTTGTCGGTCGTTTGTTGAGATTGTTACCCGCGCGGTGAAAAAGGAAACGACCAAACACGGAGGAAAACTTACAAAACTACAATTCGTACTCTAGCGAATGGCAGATGGACTTTAAAACTAGTCGTCGTATCGGAGCACCACCAACCAAATCAGTAGAACAACGATCCGACGTACTCCAAAAGTCCCTGCTCGCGGTTATTGTTGTTATTGTTATTCTGTTGTTGGGCCGGTTGGCGGCGCCGATTACTGTTACCATTAGTTACCTGGGGGCTGATGCCCAGCATCTTCAGCGACGGTGGTACGTTGATCTGGTCCGGGATGCGAACGTGTCCGAAGTCGACGGTGAAGGCTTCGCACCAAACTCCAAAGTGACCGACGTCGAACACGGTCAGGTCGCCCGGCAGGGTCAGGACAATGGTCTTTTTGTCGTAGCGACGCAGGGGCGTTTCCTTGCCGTTTTCGTCCGGGATGCGGATGCCTTGGGAGGTGGGCTTGGAACCACGGCCAACCCAGAATTTAGCGTCTGGTGAATGCAAGATAAGAGCGTGTTTAGAAGCGATGGGCGGTTCTGATAGATGAGGAATTTTGAAATTTATGGTTGACTTGTGTTGGAATTGCTCGAGGTTCCTTAGTGGATCAAATGAGTTTGGTGAAACGTCACTTATTAACACATTGTAGAGCACATTATTTGCAAAGAAATCTTCCACCAAAATGTTTTTATTCATTGACTTTTAACTAAAATTCGATCATTTACTGGCAACCTAACTTCATTCGGGCAACATCTAGTCGTAGGTAAGCTATTTAGGGGATGTTCAAAATCCTGGTGGTAAACGGAGTATGTCTGGCCGATGTGATTCCCTGGTACTAAACATAATGTGTGTATCCAATTCTCATGTGATTTGATGTGGGTCTGAACCCATTTTATTAACTTACACTACTTGAAAGGTATGACTATCTATTTTCAACCGGAACAGACAAGGAACCGATTGGAGTTGTGGGTGGCCAATCGGAACGATAAAATCCGAGAAAGGTGGCTCTGTGGATTCACCGGGAAAATGGTCAATTCCTGTAAGTAGACCTAGAGATACGCGATTTTTTTCTACATTTCATACAATCATGAGGATAGAGAAAAATACCATCACCATATCGGTTCTGCAACCAAGTGGCCAGAAAACGGTCATCTGGATATCCGGAGTCACCAGGAAAATAGTAAATTCTTCAAAGTAGACATAGAGATCCGTGTTTTTTTTTTCATTCTAGATTTGCTTACAATTATGAGCATAGAAGATTTATGTCATCATCATATCGATTCTGCTACTGGGTGGCTGGAATGCGGTCCTCTGGATATCCGGAATCATCAGAAAAAAAGTGAATTATTAAAAGTAGACCTAGAGACCCACGATTTTTTTTTTCTAAATTGCATACAAGCAAGAGCATAGAGGAAATATGCCATCACTACATCGATTTTGCTATCGGGTAGCCAGAAATCGGTCCTCTGGATATCCAGAATTTCTGCAATCAATGTCAATTCCTGAAAGTAGACCTAGAGATTCGTGATTTTTTAGAAAATGTAAAGAACCCTCAGTTAAGAAAATATATTTCAGTGCCATATTGATTCAATCCCCTGGTGGCCATACAACGCCCGTCTGGATATCCGGATTCACCGGGAAATTGGTTATTTCCTAAAAGTAGTCCCAGAGATCCACGATTTTTTGACGTAGGACTACGTCTGTGATTTCTATGTGGGAGTAAACTTTGTGAAAACCGAAAATGGAACATGTAACGAAATTATGAAAGATTTTGAACGTTAAGAACTCAGCTGCCCCTGGACCAATATAAATAATTTCATCGCCAATCGATCAGAAATATTTCTATTTCGATATCAATGCTTTCAACTGTTGATTTTCAACAAGAAACTATTGAAAGTGTTTAATGTCAAGCATTGTTCAAAAGCATTGAAATAACTAGCAAATCCACCAATTACGTACATGCATATGCTGCTTCCCCAACACAGTCATCAGAAAATCGTTTCTAGACGAAACATGTCGAAGTAGCATTCGCCTCCGATCTTCGGGCGCGTGCAAATAGGAAGGATGCAATTGCGTAATATTTTGCACACTCATCGCTATATTTAGAGCCACACACCCCCAACAACCACACAAAATGCTCTCCAGAGTTGTAATCTTATAACCAAACTTGGAAGCAGGGGTGCAATTAATTTTGATCGATTCTCTTCATCGTTAATAATTCGACGGCAAACACATTCATTGATACGTTTGTTGTTCTGGATGAAATGGTGCGTAATAGGTTTGTGAAGCCATAGTCATCAAAAGAGGAAATCGATGAAGAAGCATCGGACCGCTTTTGGTAATTGGGTTAAACCAAAGATGAATACTAAGATGAAACTGTCGGAAGAAAAACTTTCTATTGTAGTGTCTTATTTCACGGTCCCTTTCATCCAATGAGAACCCCCCGTATTCAAGGTAATTTTATGATTTTGCTGCCCCTTCGGAAGAGATGAAATTTTGCGCTCATTTTTATCAAAACAATCACACCAAAATCAGAGATGTCCCATTTTTTAATTACTCGATTAACAACTAATCGATTATTTTTTGTTCGCTGTGCTGCCATTTTTCCACCAATGAGAGTGCAGCACATGTTTGAAACGATCGGTGATGATCCTGTGGAGATGTTAATGCTTATATCGGCATGATCTAACCGATTATAAATAGTTTACTTTTCGGTTCGTTAATCGATTAAACGATTATTTGAATGAAAATCGGACATCACTAGATGAATGTGAAACGTTATTTCAAATATAAGGCCGTTCATAAATAATGATACAATTTGAAAGGGACCGGGGCTAATAACAAATTACGTCTCCATGGTAACTGAAATAAACACGAGTGTTCACCGGTTGGTTAAACTTGCTGGTTGCAGTTCTGCTGTTCGACATTTTCGAAGGACCACAAATAAAAACATGAAAATACTATATTTTCTAGGGATGCCTAGAAGTCCAATTATTCGATTAACGATCAATCGTAAAAAAATTCCAGCTATTCGATTCAATATTTATCTAATTTTCAATTATTCGAGCGCGTAACCGACATCCCTTCTTATTTCTACTCGTTTGATTTAGCACAGTAAAGAAAATAAATAAAAGTACTGACTTATCTGAAGCATGACGTGAAACAGGATCATAAATTCGTTGAAAAAAGTGTTATGCGTCTTTCTGCTAAAGACTAAGATTAACCAACTTGTTGAGAGAAGGAGTTTAACGAGAAAAACTAAAAAGGGGAGGAGCGTTAGCTGGGTGGACACTGATATTCTGCGGTCTTCCAACCTGTCGCAGATACCAGTTCAACCCATGTCCAGCAGCAGACGGGCCGAGACTTTTGTGAGTGCCTAAAAATTTAACCGAACAATATGGGGTTGTCCGGTCCGATATGCTGATCCAGCTGCCTACACGCCATCATCATCTTCCAAATGCTTTAAGCCTGTACTACCATCGACCCGTTCAAATTCATATAAAAAAAAAAATTCAGGGCAATCATAGTCATTCTAAAGAGTATAAACAGAAAGAACCCCGCACAAATTCCTATTTATACACAAAACACAAGCTCCTGCTGCAGTTAACAAATAACATTTATTATGTAAACCACGTAGTCCTACGTCACCATTGCGTAAAACCCCATTGGACTGTCCCTTGTAGTTTTTTTTTCTAAATTGCATAAAATCTTGAGTATAGAGGAAATATGCCATCACCATATCGATTTTGCTGCCTTGGAGAAAACTTAAGACGAAGAATGGAATCCGAATGTTTAAAGTGCCTACCATATCAATTATGCTCAGAATTCTGAACATTTTGTATAAAAAAAAAATGATAGCTCCAGGCCACCAGATGTTTGAATGAACATATTGCTGAGATTTCTCCATTTTACACAAGGCGCTGTGCCATTTGAAAACAATCGCTGGGTTCTATGACCACTTTTACGGTGATTCCGGAAATCCTTTTTCTTGCATATTTCCTCTATGCTTAAGATTTCATGCAATTGAGAAAAATCGCGGATCACTAGGATTACTTTAAGGAATTGTGTTCGCAATAGCGAAACTTCCTAACGTTCACCACCGTCAGCCGTGTCAACGCGCCACTCTCCGTCAAGAAGCATTTACAACACTCGCCGAGTGTTGTGTGTGTATGCGTTACGAATAGAGCCGTCGTAGGGAGAGAGTGAGAAGTACAGCCGACCGTCGCTGGCTTGGTCGAATTAACAGTGAGTTTCCATCGACCAATCACAGAGCAGAATGTATCATAAATGTAACTTTTTCGTAGTTTTTTGATATTATAAAAGCAATAGCCGTTTTCGAACCATTGTTTCTACAACCATCTGGCACTGATTTTTAATCAGTGCCTCAGACTTGGCTACTTCCCCTCGTGTTGGAAGTCAGCTAAAGTCATACCCATCCGGAAACCTGGGAAGGATCCGTCCTCTCCTTCAAGTTATCGACCAATCAGCCTTCTCTCAGGGTTATCAAAACTGTTCGAAAGAGCACTGTACCACCGGCTCCTAACATCTGCCGATGAAAACAACTTGTTACTCGAGGAACAATTTGGTTTTCGGAAAGGCCGTTCGACCGTCCACCAGCTGACTCGAGTAACAAACATTCTCAGACGGAACAAGTCTGTTTCGAAAACATCTGCCATAGCGTTGTTGGACGTTGAAAAAGCGTTCGACAATGTCTGGCACGCTGGCCTGGTGTTCAAATTGCAGCAGTACGGTCTTCCAATGTTCCTAGTGAAGATCATAAACAACTATCTATCAGACAGGACGTACCGAGTCTCTCTGAATGGCATCACATCAGATGCTTTCAACATCGGTGCTGGGGTTCCACAAGGAAGCATCCTTGGCCCCATCCTGTTCAACCTGTTCGCCTCCGATATGCCGGCTCTCCCTGATGGTGGATCGTTGTCTCTGTTCGCAGATGACACATCCATCGTCTACAAGCGTAGGGTCATCGGAGCTCTGCCTGCCAAACTTCAGAGAGGCCTGGACGTCCTGTCTGAATATTTCAATAGCTGGAAGATCCGTATCAACGCGGTAAAGACCCACACTCTAAATCTCCTAGACTTGTTCCGTCGGAGAATAACAAGATCTGCCTGAACGGCACAGTGGTGGAATGGTCCAAAGAGGTCGTGTATTTCGGGCTAACACTAGACAGCAAGCTTCTTTTCAGGGACCACGTTGACAAAACAAAAACCAAGTACAACATCTTGATAAGATCGTTGTATCCACTTATCAACAGGAAGTCAACCCTGTCCCTGAAAAATAAGCTTGCTGTCTACAAACAAATCATCCTTCCTGTAACCGAGTACGGTATGCCAATCTGGGAGAGTTGCGAAAAATGCCATCACCTTAAACTCCAAAGGATCCAGAACAAGATCCTTAGGATGGTCCTTAACAGTCCCCCGTGGACTAGAAATTCTGAGATCCACCTCCTGGCTGGAATTCAGACATTAGAAGAACGGAGAGTATTCATCCTGGAAAGGTTCAGAGACACCTGTCTGAGATCAAATCATCAGATCATACGTGATCTAGCACGTTAGGTTAAGTTATACTCGTAGTTATGTAGGTTATCACTTTTTTCAATTCAAATAAAACACATCCCCAAAGGGATATTTTGTAAACTAGTTGAAAAACGCAAATATTAAATTAGAATATCAAATTAAACAAAGATGAAGAGCCAAGTAGGCTAATCACTTAAAATGATAAATCAATGTACTACCATCATCAACAGAAATAAACATAATTTTACTACTACGAACCATTGTTCAGTTTTATACGAGAAGCCGAAGAATAAACAGAGAAAAACGTCAAATCCAGTGTTTCTGTTTTCCCAAGCGAGAAGAATTTCCATGTTCTGACCGGATTCGCCGATATGTTCCAGCGTCGTCTCGAAACAGCTTGGGCCCAACCTTCGGAAACAGCGTGGTTTCCTCTCACTAGGTGTATATAGCTCACTACATTCTACAAAAGAGTTGAGTTCCTTTCAGAGCTGATTAGCAAGAATTTTCGGTAGACGAAGCTTATCGCTGGGTGAATTGGAAGCTAGCTTTGCTGAGTCGCATCATCGCAATCGGTCGTTAGCGGGCGTGTAGTGGTAGTGTACCATTATCGCCAATTCGTTTCGACCATCCAGCGTCGGCAGCGGTGCAAAGGGCCTACGTGAAAGACTTCCATCCTGGGCGGCTGTTCGCTTTTGCCTTGACCTGGGTCCAGGTCAGATTACTATCGACTTGCTTAATTTCCTTATTGAGGCTCCGCCGCCATGAGCCCCTGGGTCTGCCTCTGCTGTGATGTCCTGCCGGATTCCAATCCAGCGCTTGCTTGCAGATTTCGTTTCCGCCCCGTCGAAGTGTGTGGCTGACCCACCTCCACTTTCGCTCTCGAATTTCTGTTGCTATCGGCTTCTGATGACATCGACGATGGAGCTCGGCATTCAAGATCTAATTGTGAGGCCACCAGGCACGAATTATATACCGCAGGCATCGGTTGATGAAGACCTGCAGCTTTTGAGTGCTCTCCGCTGATACACACCATGTCTCGCTGGCGTATAACAACACAGATTTCACGTTCGTGTTGAAAATTCAGATTTTGGTGCGTTGACTTATCTGGTTGGATCTCCATACGTTTCGTAAGCTCGCAAAGGCAGCCCTAGCCTTCTTGATTCGTGCACCTATGTCGCTCTTGGTCCCGCCGTCCGACGCTATTTGGCTGCCAAGATATTGGAAACTTTCGACCTTCTCCACTGCTTGCCCCGCTACCGTAATATAGTTGGAAGGGTTGCCCGTGTTGATATCCAACAATTTGGCCTTGTTGACGTTGATGGTGAGACCCACCGCAGAGGAGCGTTCGGCTACGTCAAAACCGACTTTGGTTTTTGAAATCACACCCCTAATGTTGCCTTTACGTACATGGTATGTTTGATTTAAACATATCTAGATAGAGCTGGAATTAGGCTTAACAGCTTTTGTAAGCAATGACTTATCGTGATGATTTTTAGGAACTCAAGGCCCGCCCACGTAAACCAACATTACCGCCAGGTAGGGCTCACCCTACTTAATGGTGATGTTGATTTGCGTGGGCGAGCCTTGACTTTCAAGTCATCATCGAAAGAAGTCTTTGTTTACAAAAGCTGTTACGCCCTAATTACAGCTCTATCTTGATTTGGGAACTGACATCCGATGGATGACCTTGACAAATACTCTTTAACCAATGTATGGTTGTCCTGAAAAGTACCGTTTTGTCGTGATAGTTGAGGAATGCTGAGCTATTAGGGTTTTAAACACAGATGAAGCTGGTGGCTGTAAAATGTTTGGAATGAGGGTGATTTGCTTGGCATAGATGGCCCACAGCGGACTCACGCAGAGCTACTGATTCCGATCAATAGCGGTGCGGCTTCTTCCTCCTTCTATGGATGTTCATGTGAACTGCAGCTCACTGCTTGCAGGAAGCCTTTCGTTGTGTATTGGAGAACACCCAGACAACCAGAAGTCGTATAACAATGTACAGACAGTATCGTAAATAACTACAGTTTAAGTCAATATCGCATATAAGTATGACATACATCGCATTATGTTTAAGTTAAATCTTATAGAATGCAAATTTCCGACTTATATGCGATGAATCATTTTTCCATCGTACTGTATCACAAATTAAATCGGATTACATCGTAAGGCTTTTCAAATTGAAATTGTTATTACAGATTTAATCGTATATAATGTCAAATCAACTCGCTTAAAAAGAAATTAAAATTTGCACGTATATGGCCTCCACTTTTGTAGGTATAGGCCCTTGTTTTGCATTCTATACGATTTGTTTGTTTGTATATATGTTTGTGTATCACAGAAACAACTTTGAATATACGTGCATTCTGGTTGTCTGGGCAATGTTCAACGCCACACGCCAAAAGCACTGTTGCTGCAAGCTGATGCCGATGATCGGATACCACCAGCGGATACCGATCAGCAGTTGAGGCCAGCCTTGGTAGCTAGCTGCTTGCAGGGAGCCTTTTGTTGTGTACTGGAGAACACCACCACTCACCACGTGGTGATTGAATAAACACAGTTTTGTGAGACCGGGTGGAATTCAAATTTGAAATCTGTGTTAGGAAAATTGCTTTTCACAGGTAATCGGTGATAATTTTAATTATCATAGTAACAGTTGCAAATTCGTGCAATTTTCAACAGTGATATTTTGAAAAACAATAAAGTCTCAAATTTAACAGATGCGTTGAAATATATCTGATCGATTAGTGATAAAATTGTTGAAATTGGTCCAGGGGCAGCTGAGTTATTAACGTTCAAAATCTTTCATAATTGTGTTACATGTTCCATTTTCAGTTTTCACAAAGTGTATCCCCATATTAAAAACACAGACATAGTCCTAAGTCAAAAATTGTGGATCTTCAGGTCACTTTCAGGAATTGACCGTTTTCTCGGATATTCCGGATATCCAGAGACCCCGCGGTGACAGAATCGATATGGTGATAGCATATTTCATCTATGCTCATGATTGTATGTAATTTAGAAAAAATCACGAATATCTAGGTCTACTTTTAATAATTGACCATTTTCCTGGTGAATGTGGATATCGTTTAATGACCACCGGGGGACCAAATCAATATGTCACTGAGATATGTCTTCTTAACTAAGGGTTCTTCACATTTTCTAAAAAAGCATCGATCTCCAGGTCTACTTTTAAGAATTGACTATTTTCCCGGTGATTCCGGATATCCAGAGGGCCACCCGGTAGCAAAATTGATATGTTGATGTCATAATTCCTCTTTACTAATGAAGTATATGTAAGTTAGAAAAAATCGCGGATCTCTAGGTCTACTTTCTGGATTTAACTATTTTCCCGGTGATTCCGGAATTTCAGAGGACAGTTTTCAAGCCACTTGTTGTTGCAAAATCGATATGGTGATGGTATATTTCCTCTGTGCTCATGATTCTTTGCAATTTAGAAAAATCGCAGATCTCTAGATCTACTTTCAGGAATTGACCATTTTCCCGGTGAATCCGAATTTACACAGAGTCAACTTTCACGAGTTTTATCGTTCCGATTGGCCACCCACAACTCCAATCGGTTCCTTGTATGTACCGTTTGAAAGTAGATAGACATACCTTTCAAGTAGTAGCTCAATCTTAAGATGTGGTGACCAAAGTGCCGAGAACCAGTCATGTCAACATGAATCGACATGCATTTTGCTCGGGACTTTTCCGGGTTTTTCCGTTCCAGCTGGCCAACCACAGGTCCAATCGGGCTTCTATCTATTTAAAATAAAATAAAATAGCCATATCCTCCGATTGGTGGCTGAATCATAACGATGGGGCATCGCATTGCTGAGAACCAGCCATGTCAACTATGAATCGACACGTATTTTGCGGCCTTGGTACTTTGAGTAGGTTTCGATGGCTTGGGATTCCGTCAGTTAACCGGACAGTCAAGGAAAATCGGCCCCGCACTTTTCCGGGGATTCCTGTATGTAGCAAAATATTTTGTTAAAACAGCTTTTGCTAAAAACATTACACTTTACATTCAGTATCTAATCCTGTTAAATAATATATAGCTAAATTTCCAACAACCATGAATTACAAAAGCTTCTACCTCAACTGTCCACTAAGAGCAACTGATATATCCTACCTGGCGCTTCTCCATCGTAGTTAAAGTTCGGAATCAGCAGCGTCTGCGCATCGACGATCACAATGTTATCGGAGCTGACGTCGTGCACTCCGGCCAGCTGCCCTATCTTGGTCGGTCTCGGAAAGTCCAGATCATTCCGAATGACCACATCGCCGAAGTTGACACTGAAATCGTCGCACCAAATCGAGAACCACCGGAGGTCCCGCAGGGTCTTTCCCTCCGGAAGTGACAGGGTGATGTCTTCGTTACGATACTTCCTCAGTATACCGGAACGGCCGCGTTCATCCCGTAGCCGGTGGGCTCCCTTGTTGCTGGGAGCACGGGTGTTTCCCACGTAGAAGTAAGCAGCTGGGGTTCGATAACCGATCGGAAGGGGTTGATGTAAGATTGACCTGTATTGAAACTGATTTGAACGGAAATCACTTACCTGGGCCTTCCCCATCGTAGTTGAAGTTCTTCAGGAATAGAGTCCTCGCATCGACGGCATACACCGAACCTGACACTCCATGGTGCAACTGGGTGAGGTCGCCAATCTTGGTACCGTAGTAGCCCTGCAAGGCCTCCACGCTGGTTGCGATGCTGCCTGTGAATTAGAAAACGAGAAATTCCCCATTTAAACTCAATGCATAAGAACTTCCATAAGGTTGATTTCGAAAATTTACAACTGCCCGTTTCCGCTGTGGACCACCGAAAAAATTGCTCTCTCGTGCCGGAGCGTGTTTTCACTTTCCCATGATAGTAGAAAGAGAGAGGGATGAGCCACGCTATGCTCGCATGACCACACGCAGCGAGGTAGGCTCTGTTTAGCCCCGAAAACCACACACCATGTAAACATAGGCCAATAAAAATAATCGGGTTAACGACTTCCAGTGGCAGTCGCAGTCGCAATCGGTAGACCGCACGGAGACAGCAAAGTGAGAGTGTAAACAGCGGCGGCAGTGTGACAGACTAAATACCTCCTCGCGGTGGTAATTTTCCCGGAACGCCTTGTACGGTCTTGAATGAGGCTGGTGGGACGATGAAAATGATTTCCATATAAGCGTTATAGAGACGCGGCGAGCTGATTGGCTCGAAGAAGAAAACAGTCATCACACCGAGAATGGTTCGCTGTGGAAGCTTTCGCTGATTTTCCGCTTCGAACGGGCCTCAATCTAGCGGAAAAGTGATGCAAACAACGTTCCAACGGCTTCGAGGAGGTCTGAGTAGTGCCCGGTGTCCGGAGGAGAAAGATGTTTGATTGCAGGAAGAACAGACCCCTGAAAGGGGGGTAATAAAAACAAAATTGATGACGGGTGTGGTGAGAGAGTGGGCCTGGGGGGATGAATTGCCTAATCGGAGCGCTCTAATCGTTTTGAGTGATTGATTGTGGTGAGCTCGCTATGTGATGGAAGGGGCTAGTTGCCGCTTTGTTGGCAATTGAATAGCTTTGAAAATTGGACGGACGGACGGACGGACTGCCTGAATGCAAAGTGGATTGCCGAAGTGACTGTGATCGCAAATGCTTGCGAAGCGCCCTGGGAAAGGAGTTCAATGGCTGCTATGCAGCAGCTGCTGCAGAGAAGGGAACATTGGGCGAATGGCGATTCCTTCGGAGAGTGGTGAGGTCAAGTTCGTCAAGGTGGAATAATAGAAAATGTTTTGCAATTGCGTGGGAAAATTGTGTTGTTGCTAATGTGTCGTAATACAACTGCTGGAGATGGCTTGAATTATCGTCTAAATTATTCAATTATACCATTTCGTGTACCCAAATTAACAGATGCGAGATCATGCAAAATGAAGTATCATGACTTTTAAATTCTATTACAATCTTGTTTTAAACTGAATTGAAGTACAGTAATGCACCAAATACCAAACGGTTCGTGAATCCGTTATTTAGTATTTTGCGATAAATTTGTATTAGAGTGGTTCAAAATAACGATGTTGCAATTGATTTTAAATCAGGTCCTGATCAACCTCCCACAATCTGAGTTTATTTGAATGTGAACTCATACTGCACTGTCCCTTTGAAATGTATGTGGAAACTACTATGGGAAAGTGCACTTTATGTTCTCAACGTCCTAGCCCTTCGCCATAATGATTTAGGGAAAAGCTTTCTATCTGCTCATTCGCTACAACTTTGCTGAAGACAACTTTTTTTTATTAGAATTCAAGGTAATTAGGCGTTAATTGATTTCGATTATTGACTACTTTCAGCGCAACACAGCATCTAGCACTTATGACATAGTAGTCTGGAATGTTTTCCCTATTCCTCGCGCCAAGCACACCAATGTTGCCTGCTGAGCAGTTTAAAAAGCATGTCAGAAGAATCCTAACTATCCTGACGTTCAATTCAAATGCGACCTTCAGGAAAGATACAGCGAAGAGCTAACAATGAGAACGATAAGTTCACATTTCCTATAGCAATTCCCATATAAACTTCAAAGGGCCAGTGCACTATGAGTTTGCATAAAAATGAGCTCAAACTGTGGGAGAATTACCTGATTTGAAATTGATTCAGCTTCGTGGAGCAAAATCGATATTTTGAACCGCTCTAATATATATATGTGATTATTCTAGAACAAAATCCATAGATTTGTGGACTTTGTAAGGGTCTGGACCTCGAACCTTTATGGTATTGCCTACACTAACAGCAATCATGATCAGGAATAGCTCAACAACCAAAAATTCGGTGTCCTGAGACTGACCCTAAAGCCAAATATTATAAATTAACAATATGGTTCACTTCCAGAATTTCCATGTTTCTGAAAAGACGCATACGTAATACCCTCTCCCAGTGAGGAAGGTGACTAAAAACATTCGTGGCCGTTTTATTTAAGCGTGTAATCAATTCATAAGTTTAGTCAAATAAAAGGTGTTGCAAAAAGTATTAGCTTTCTCATGCATGTTACACGCCTACCCTGACGTCATGACATTGTACTACGTTCAGACTATAGTTGATATTAATAACGTTATAACGTAATATAATATGATATCAAAAGTGCCTAAATTACGTGATATTTGCTAAAGTTTGAATGTACTGTTAGTTTAGAAGTAAACCAAACCAAATAAAGAAAATGCAGATTATATCAAGAGCAAATTTTCATTACGTCGAATGTAACAAAGGTAAACAAAGTCGAGCTATCATTGTCAATCGGTGCTCCTGCTATTACACTATATACTGTCCGAATATAGGATCACATCTCATTTTTAAATTTATTTACCAGTCGAATTGCTTTTTGACGTAATCACCTTCCGATCAAAATAGTTTTCGATGTTACTTAAGTCACCCGATTTCTATGGAGATGCCGTTTGCCTTAAGTAATAGCACTGAGAAACCCGTGAAAAGTGTACTTTCGTCGTTTCGCTTTCTCATTATTAAAGTGAATAAATCGAACTGTTTGTTGCTAAGATGATTTCGGTGGTCCTAAAATGATGAATGGGCTGCACGTAAGGAGACGTAATTGATAATTCTCCCGAATATCCTGGTAAATACACTTTGACTTAAGTAACAATAGGGGCCACCAAACGACGTATAATAACTTTTGACTCAAAAACCAGTATTTTTTAGCATGAAAGCTAGCGATTTGCTTTTGTATGATTAAAACCCGGCTAAATATGTTAAACATTGCTATCACTATGAGATTATATGTGTTTAATTGGAAATAGGAATAACTTTTCGGTCATCAAAACAAAACTTTATTTTTCTCGGATCGGTGCGAATGTTACTTACGACATAATGAAAATTTGCTCTTGATATCTGCCATCCCTCTTAAAATACACGCTATTTCAAAACTACCCAAATTTGGGTAGGATCCACCCAGATCCGTCAAAACTGAACCTACCCAAAAATGGGTAAACTGTGTTGGGGGTGACAAGTTGACAAATGAACAACGTCGATCGGATTGATGTCAATGTTGTTCATTTGTCAACTTGTCACTCCCAACACAGTTTACCCATTTTTGGGTAGGTTCAGTTTTGACGGATCTGGGTGGATTCTACCCAAATTTGGGTAGTTTTGAAATAGCGTGTACAACATTGGCAACTGACAGGAAGAAAAATTTCAGCACGCTAAGAATCGTTTACTCAATTTTGGGTAATAGATTAACAAACACGGTAAGATAACAACACTCAACATTGTGTTTGTAAAAAGCTCAAGAACATAAAAAATAAAAAAAAAATCGATTTTTGTTAAAAGTACTCAACCGTCATGTTTTCACCGTTGTGTACTTTTAACTTATTTTTAGATGAAAATCATAGCAACCTGCGCTGCCTTTCATGCTGTCATTTTTGTGTGCTTCATCGCCTTCGTTCGTGGTCTAGTTCGTGGTCCATTATTGGCGTTGAAGAAAAGTTTTTTCTTCTAGAAAAGATTGACAGTTTCTTATGGGATTTTCGGTGAAGTGAAAGGAAAATACGAAGTCCGCCATGTTTCACGCACAGTCAGACGTTTACTTTCACTAAATGGATTATTGATGAAGATTTCTCAAAATTTAGTTTTCATCATTAATTTAATTTACCTAGCCCCATGGAAGCCACATGATGAGTGAAAGTGAAATCAATTTTTAAACTAACTTTAAAGTACCCATTATTGGGTAAAAAATACCCATTTTAAAGAAAAGTGACTTAACTCATTAAATTAGCAATTTTATACCCATTAATAAGTATCTGTTACCTATTAATGGGCAACAGTTACAAATTAATGGATACAACATCTAGTACTAGTTTAGCCACTTTTCTTCAAAATTGAACTTTTTTTACTTATAAATGCGTAGTTCCAAGTTAGCGTGTTTAGTACCTCGTTCCCCAGCAACATGTGCAAAGGCATACAAGCCAAATGTAAGCAATGCATTTAAACGTCGGTTGTTCCCGAATTGCAACATGCCCACTCAAACTTATAGTCACTATATTCATAGCCTGGCGGATAGAATCTAGATCTATCAAAAAACGGAACCAATTCAATACATTGTTGACCAACAATTAAAAAGGTACTATCAACTTTTATAAACAAAACGTTGATTATTCTTTCACGAGAAAACGGTTTCCGAAATTTTGTTCGCAATAGTGATGTGCTCTTTTCTGTTGTTGGCAAGGTTGCAAAGACTTATTTCAGCTAAAACAATGTTTTTCTAAATTATGAAATAATTAGATGCCATGATCAAATTTTGAATTGGTAGGATACAAGAAGAGATTGCAAAGAATGTGTTTGACATATTAAACCTGTTTATTTCACTTCATGAGAGTCACAATCAGCGATTTTTCACAAACTCACTCACTCACTCAGCGATCAGCAAATCGCTGATTGTGACTCATAGAAAGCAAAATTTACAGGTTTTATGTTTGCAACGCATACTTTGTAACCTCTTCTTGTAAGTTACAAGTAAAACATGCCATCATACCATCTTTTGGTTTTATTATTCCGAAAAACATTATTTTAGCTGAAATGAGTCTTTGCAACCTTGGTTGTTGGTCGTAATTTGCTCGATTGGTTCCGCTATTTGACAGCTCAATTGGTTCCCGATATTCTATCCGCCAGACTATGAATATAGTGATTATACTCAAACTTACTACACTGAACCAATATCAAGAACAACATGTGAAAAGGGT